TCATAGACTGAAACGAAAAAAAGTTTTAAAAATTGAAAAGAAGTTTGAAAATGCATCTTTTCAAGAGCTTTTCTTGCAATCAGAATCAGCATTCACCAAAAGTTGCACTATAATTCAGGTTGGCTTAAGGATTTTCAAGCTGTTCATTCTTGAAAGTTAACGGTACTTAAATATAGCATCAGAGAATTTCTTCTATCTCGATGCTTCTTCTTGAACGGCAGCAGATTTAAACCTGTGGCCAAAAAATACTCACTTTTTTCAGCTGTCTGAGAAACACTATTTCATTTCCAGGTTTCGATTTATTTGTAAAGAGGGCTTCTTTCCGATTGTAAAAAATCTTAGTCTAAATGTCCTCCCCTTCTTCTTTTTTTTTTTTTTTGCAAACTATAAAAGTAATTTTTTGGTTTTTGTTGAGACACGTAGCTTTGCGAAGACGGCTCGACTAGAAGCAAAGCTTTTAAAAAACTATTTGCAATAGTTTAAGTGTTAACGCACCTGGGAAGTCACAAAGTTCTCTAAAAAAAATGCCACAATAGTTTAGTGATTAGTTGAGTATTTAGTAGCTCTGATAATTTATTCGCTCAGAAGTGTTCTTTTTTTGTCTATTTTCTATTGTTCAATTTATCTGTTTACCCGATTAGGTACTGTTATGTTTTTGGTTTTAATAGCTAAATGTGAAAAAATTTTGAACAACTTGTCTTTAGACTTCTCTTTATTATGCTTATTTATTTTAACTAAACAGGTAGAATAAATTAAAACGATTTTAAAGAATCCAACTCAAAAAATTGACTAATATTTCAAACAAATGGTTGAGAATATCTTGGCAGTTAGGAAGTCTAATATCAATTAACGGTTACCGCTACAACAAAAAAGTTCTCTTTTTTGAGATAACATTACTTTTCACCTATTGACATATTTTTTTTTAAACTTTCAGAATATTTCAACAGATGCCTTTTTTGAACATCAAATCTACAAATTTGTTCGAAAGAGCTCGAGATGTGTGCACTTTGAGACACTGCTCAGCCTGCTCTTGAAGCTTCTCTAGAACTGTAATATACCATTTTCGAATATTGTAATCTGACAGGTTACTTAATAAATTTTTTAAGGATTTTGTCTGTTTCCAAAAGTTATCAAGTACTTTTATTCATTTGAACTAGTTCTTAAACGATGCTGATGAATACATCGCATAATCACTTGAAACTATGTTGCTCGTCTAAAATTCTTCATAGCAAATATTCTGGAACAGCATAAGAGTTTTATAAATCAGTTTCACCATCCTTCTCAAAAAACCCGTTAGAGCTGTTTTGGTGAAAACAAATTGGCTCTGGTGCTTTATTTACGAATACTACAATGTCTAGATACTACGTTTTAAACTAACTTTTTTAAGCGTATTTTCTAATAATTTTTTATACAGTTCTACATTTTAAGAGATATTGAAACGTTGCACTTTGCAAGAAATTATCACTCACCTAGAATTGTATGTAAGTTTCACTAGTAAACCAACAGTTACATGTTAAATTTATTTTTTTAGCTGAGAATTTTTTCGTATTTTTATTGGATTTTGCCGACTTTTTTCTTAAAAACACTACACCTGCTTAATAAACTTAGATACTTCTTTGCGCGCCAATTTTAATAGCACAACTTCGGACTTAGCACGTTGAGACTGGTTAGTTGTAACTGTTAATAACACCAAACTTAAGAAGTTAGCTACTTGAACCAGTCTAATTTAGAGAATTACATAAATAAAGACGAGTACTACACAACCCCTAGAGGTAAACTAAATGATTACTACACAACCTTCAGAAGTAAACTGAGTGATTGAGTAGGATAAGATACTGTTCAATTTATGCTGCTTTGCTAAGGTCACTTTCTTTTAAATATTACCACTAAAACCAAAAAACAGGCACAACTCTTATCTACACTATAAAACTTCTAAAACTAAATTAACTTCTGCCAATTTACGAAGAGAATTTTATCTCAAACTGTTATTCTGAAGAAAAAAAATTTTTTACATAAATTCAAGATGAAGGTAAAATAACTTTCTGTAAGATATACGATCACCACCGACCTGTCTAGATGGGTGTCATTCGAAACTGCATTTGACGACTACGTGTTGGAAAAGAAGGCTAACGAATAACGACAGAGTAAATTACAAAAACAATTCTGTAAAAAAAAATTCTGAAGACAGAGTCGTTTTAAAGAGCTTATTGTATTTTACCGCACAAACTTGTTTGTTTTCTAGCTCAATTTTCGTTAGGTTTGGGCTAACCACGCAGTTACTGTATACTGTAAAACAACTCCAAAAGACTTTGCAGAATACCGTCGCTTGGGTAATGTGCCGGTATTCTACAAACGCTTTTATAACAAATAAAATGACAGCCTTAAATTCTTTTTTTTCTTTCTTGCTTATTAAATTCTTTCTGAAGGTCATATCTGTACTTGAGTGAAGTAATCCTAATGTTATTTCAGAGTTCTGCTGCACCCAGTGAATGAACTTAGTTATTTTTATTCACTATGGACATTTGTTGTGTCAGTAATTGCCTTCTATAACTGCGTAATGATAAGTATGTTTGTCTTTGATGAAGATGAAGAAACGGAGGAATTTAAGGAAAAGGGTTTCATAAACGCTATGATGTCCGACGTTGTGAATCTTATAGATATTTTCGTGCAAATGAAACTAAGTAACACCTGGTTTATTTAATAATTCCAATAATAAAAGGGTTTAACTTGACCGTTATTCAATAAGTGATTTTGGAAATCGTTTGTTTTAATTATTAATTTAAAAATATTTTGTCGTCGTTTCTGCATTAAATCCTAAACTGTTTACCGTTAAGCTTTCCAACGGGATGGCCTGGAAGTAAGAGATTTCAAAGCAACATGTTTGAGGTATCTAAGAAGGTAAGCTCAGCTGTATTTAAATAAATTTTGACCATCAATTTTGGATTATTTGTTTAAGCAGCACAACAATTCTAAACTTGACTAACATTCTTCTACATATGAGTTTAATGTAAGACGGCATTAAGACGGTCGAAATTCTGGGTGAGTATAAAGGCAGCTTAAGACCTGGTATCGGTTCTGGAACTTACAATAATGCTTGTTTAAACGCTTCACTCAGAACATTAAAAAACCTTATTGTTTCTGTTTCTCTTCCTTTTCTTTTTCCAAATATTCTGGTAAACGCTGGGTGAAGGATTTCAAACGGACAAGTTTTAAAATGAAGGATTACTACGGTAGTCATCTTTCTACATTCCCAGTAAGGGCATTTCTAATACTATAATATTTCTACTGTGGGTCGTAACAGAAAATAGAAATATTAGACTGAGGTTGATAGTGAATGAACAGTCGCCGATGAGCAATCACAACCGATCAGAAGAACGAATTAAATTGGCCTTAACAATAATGGCAATAACAATGGTTAATTTTCTGATTGCTGCCTCTTTTATATCTGACTTTCGTCTGCTCAGATGGTCACTCTGCAACCTCTCCGCGAGCTTCCCGCAGGGAGCTACTGTGACCTTGTATTGTCCCTACGGTCCCTTTCGCGAGCGGTCGCGACAAGGATAAAGGAGGGATGATGTAGAATAAAAACCTGGTTTATGTCTGGACAAAATTCAGAAAACTCTGAGAAACACCTGTTTAATGTAACACAGATTCAGTTTCTTACACCTTACCTTTTTTGCGTGAGGATGTGAGCAATAAAAAAATTAGTAGTTGAACAAACTAGTAGTTGTACTGATTCTGATATTTTGATTACCGTTGTTTACTCTTTAAAAGAGCTTTTTAATAACTTTTTCCTTTCCTTAATCAAAATATCTTTAGAGTGTCTTAAATTATTCTAGCAGTTGTGAAAACTAATTAGTTCTTATCTAGCACAATTTTTTCAAGTCGAATTTTTTCTAATTAAGCTTTTATTTTGACTAAAGTTGTTTCAGTAAATCTTTTTTGGTGGATTTGATCGCAGTTTTTCCGACAGAAATTTTGTACGTCTTCAATTCAAACTTAGTTTTGGTTCGTCTCAACCGCTTGGCAAAAGTCTATCGAGTACGGCAGTTTGTTGATTTGACACAAATTCGTACAGGGTTTCCAAGTGTATTTCGAACCCTAAAATTAGCAGTGTACTGCTACTTGATATTTCATTGGAACGGATGTTTATATTTCCATTATAGTGTTTACTATAACATCAAAGGTAAAATGAAGATCTGCTCTGCTTTTTGGAAAAGTCACTTCTCTAAGAGAAACTGTGTAAACTGGTCATCTAATTTTGATAAGAAGTTCTTCTTATGAAATTTTGCCGTCATGATCTTGGCTTACCACCTTTGGTAAATAAAGCAAAAAGGTGAGAGGTGTGAGTGTGCATCTAAATAAAAGTATTTTAAGACGTTAAAGCAGCAATCTAGGTAAAGCAGCAAACTGCGTTTCAGACGGCACTCCACTAGACTGGAAATTCTCATACGGCAAAATTATGAACCCATTACTGGTTGAGTGTAAGAGTCGGAGTCACCCAGAGGAATGTATACTTGATGAAAGCACCAAAGATGTCCACTTTCGAGACGACTACTTGCCCGGGCTTCAGGAATTCTGGATCAATAAGTAACAACTAAATTTTTTGATTTGTTTTAATAGTCTTTTGGAGGTGCCAGAGTTTTTCTGCAACTAGTGCTATATGGATATCGCTCTTAACAGTATTTTATTAGTTCACAACAAAGCGCGTTGTATCTTCATACGTTCTTTGATCATCGTACGACAATTTTTCAGGACAAAGGTCATTGAGTTTGGAAAATTTACCAGGAAGTATCTACAAAGTTTTTACTGGTCCGCATTAACACTGATAACGCTTGGAGAACAGGTCGTCTAAAAAAAATATTTAAAATTTTGTTTTGCTGCTGCTGCAGTTAACAAACTCTGCGTAATATGTACATCAGAGATCGTTTTAGCCGCCACCAAGTGCCACTTTCCAGAACCAGTTTGAAATCATGGACACAGTTATTGGTTTGGTCATCTTTGCAGTTATTATTAGTGATATTTCCAACATGGTAAACGATTTAAATGCTTCAAAAAGCGAATTTGAATTTGAGTTGGATGGTTGTAAACTGTTCATGTACAACAGGTAACTAATTGCATTGGTCATATTCTGCTCTTTATTACAGTTAGATTTCTACGTAAAGTTATGTGAAGTTTTTGCAGGAAGGTTTTACATGTTTTGCAAAAACGAGTAATCGATTGGTTTGGCTATATGAAAAATGAAGGAATTTTAAGGAATGATGAGGAGGTTAGCAGCTTTCTTTTGTACCAGTGTATTTTCAACCGTCAGACATTTAAACTGTTTTTAAAAGTATAGAAAATGCCTGGTACAGTTAGCCGCAGAATAAACTGGGGCAACTTGTCGAGTGGTTTATGAGAAAAATATGCGTTTCTTTTCTTTAGGACATGATAGATTTTCTTCCAAGGCGGCTTTTCGTTGAACTTATTTCTTCAATCCACATCCAAACTCTTCTGCAAAGCGATCTATTTCAGGTCTTTTCCAAATAATAACTGAAAATTTTATAACATTGTGTAAATTAATGTCACTAAAGCAGTAAAGTGCTTCTTTAAATCTGAAACGATTTTCAGTCATGAAAGTGATGTTAAAAAAGATATAAATAAGACAAATAAGATACACTGTCTACTAAATCAAAAAAAAAAGGAAAGTTTTGTGGCCTACTACAAAAACAGCAAAAATTTTGGAAAACTATCGCTCTGATAGAATTAATATCAGAAACAATATGCTGGATATGCTGTTCTGAGGAGTTTTAAGCTCGTCTGTAATACGACTTTTTGATATACATACACTTGAAAGTGTTGCTAAAAAACTGTCATATTTAGGATTGTGAGATTGATTTCTTACAAAAGATTATTCTTAAACTTCAATTACGCATTTATAGTCCGATGGATTACGTCTGCGAAAAAGGCGATGTTGGAAAGGTTAGGTTACCGTTTTTGGAAGTAAATAGGTCACTAAATGTTGTAAGAAGCATGTGTTTTCTTTACCTTTAATAATTTTTGAAATTTCGCGAGCTAAACAAAGCGTTGATATTTAGCTACGCTCATGGTACTTATACCGCTTTGTACTGACGTAGGCAAAAACGTAAGCCTACAGTCGAAAAAAGAATTACATTTTTCCCATCTGGCTGAGAATAGGTAATTGTTCTATGCCGTAAAAAAAGCAAAAATTAGCAAGGCTCTTTAAGCTTAAGAGTTCTTTCAAAAGTGTTAGGTAAAAAAAGCCTCCTTATGTATGGTGTGTCTAAGCAGTTTTTGGTTTACTCTGTAAAAACTTAAAGTTCCCGTGAATCCATAAAATTCCAGGAGATGTTCATCATAAAAGAAGGTCAAGTGCAGGTCGTAAGCGATGACGGTACAAAAGTTTTTGCAACACTTTCTAAAGGATCTGTCTTTGGAGGTCTTTCAATACTGAACATCCCAGGTTGCTAATAATTGATTATTTATACGAGAAGTATTTCTAACATAGAATCAGTTTCTATACTGTAAACCAGTGCAGCTAAACTGATGCAGTTTTGCGCCGCTGCACAAGTTTTTGTGACTTCTAATTGTTTAGAAAATATGCTGCTGCCAAAATTACATGAGAAAAACATAGAAGTTATTGACAGGCAACAAGAATGGCAACAAGAGAACTGCCAGCATACGATCAGTGGGATATACAGATGTTTATGTACTTACCAAGGACGATTTGTGGGAAATCCTTCAAGACTACCCAGCGCTTAAAAACAAGCTCCTCGAAAGAGGTAATCTTTTTGCCAAATACGGTGACAGTAGATAATGCTTTGTTTTTTGGCATAAACTGTGCAGAGCAATTGGGCATAGAGCGTAATAACGCTACGCACTCAATAAAAACAGAAAAATGAAAAAAATGGTGTACTTGTCATCCAATGACAGATAATCTCCTGACTTATTTAATGTTAATCTTTTATAAGTATTTATAATATTTTAATTTTAAGTTAATGATTATTGCTGCAGAAGATTAAACAGAAGTTTTAATTTTAGGAAGAAAAGTACTGGAAAAAGACAATTTATTGGAAAACACTGACGAAGAACCAGAGTTGCACGAATACGCTACATTAGACGAGAAACTAGAGTTTATTACTGCACAATTAAACAATTATGATGTAAAGCTAAAAAACCTTTACGACGATTTCTCGGTTTGTTTTGCCGTACTGAATTCTTGATAATATTAACAGTTTAAGGCTTTACTACGCACAAATATTGTTTTTAAATTTGGAAAGCCATGAAGCTAATGTAAATAGTTAGGAAGTAGTCCGCTAAAAAACGCTTGCGCCTAGTCAACCTTATCGCTCAGGAAGGAGCCAAGCTAGTCATACAGCATTTTGTACTTTTCAAAAAAACAGTACTGAGGAAAAAATGCATAAAGAACACTCAACAGTAAAGTTATTATTTGTTTTCCACTCAACATAATTTTCGTTTCAATTGTATTCCCCCAAAAAGTTCCTCAAGTCGCCTGCATTAGACCTGTGCTACTGTGAAATAAAGAACTCTGTAATTTAATATTCAGGCCTTGCCTATGTCACTTTTGTTTATTCGGAGCTAATTAATGGCTTTTTATTAAGCATATTTAAACGGGATATGGGATATCTTTAATCTCTGACTCTTTAGATACAGTTCCATCGTTTTCCGTCTAAACGATTTTTGAGGCAGTAAAATTTTCATTCTTATGGCTCCCTTTTCAGACTAAAAAAATTGTACTCACTTGAGTTTTCCCAAAGTGAAAAAGTATTTAGAAGCTACTATTCAGTGTCTAATGACGATAATACTTGTGCTAACTGCTGAAATAATCGAGGTCATAAGTTCCAAAAAAATTGCTTTCCATTTTAATATCCAATCCTCCTATACCAAAAATAAGAACGTTCTTTTGTTACCTGTAACTCAGCTTCTTCAGTTAACTATTTTAAATAAGGTTCTGTTTTGATGAGATCATCTGATGAGATGCTGCAATACTTCTACGTGATTTCTTGAAAACATGCCTCTGAATGTTTTCCCA